ACAGAAAAATTATTTCTATGTTACCACCTTAATAAATAAACTTCATCTGTGCCAAGAATAGTAAATATTTCTTTATTTTAGATTTGTCTCAAAATAATTGTATATGTATATATTTTAAAGGAGAAAAATAATTTTAAGTTTATTTTAAATTTGTTTGGTGTAATAATTAAAATATAATATAAACATAACTGATTTAATCGATTCTTATATATGGTACACATTTTTAATTTTGATTGTTTAAATTTCGAAAATAAAAAAAACCACAACTATACTTAACATACCTAAATAACCTTTTTTCCTCTAATGAAACCTACTTTTTTATTTAATTTATTATAAAAATATGTTGAATTTGTGAACGTCTATGATACCACCTTTCCTTTGTTCCCTATTTGATTTAACCATTTTTTTATAGCTGCAATTCAACTAATTGATATAATTTATTTGGTACCATTATAAAAAATAAAAAATAATAATGCAACTTTTTATAGTAGGGCACATAAATGTCATGTAATTAAAATAAAAAATTAATTTTTAGTTATAGGTCTTACAAAATTATCACATCATCATAACAAATGAGCTTAGGAAGCATTTCAAGGTAATTGAAACCTTTAAGATTATTACAAGATAAAATAGAAAGGCTAGAAATAATGCCTTTTAGATATTTAACCAATTAGAATAGTTAACGACATTAATGACCAATTTAACAAATAATAATTTTCGTCCAATTTGGTCCTCATTTATCTCAATTGTGAATTTAGTGGCAGTATGGGACCTTATTTCAATGTTTAGCCAAATTTTAAAATATGCAGGTTTGGCTAATTCTGAATATCAACCCAACTTAAGCCGAAAATTTTCAATTAATCAGCACTAGTTCTTAATAATAAAAGCGTTTGACGACGTTCCAAAAAAATGTGTTTAACCACTCAAGTATAATCAATTGAACTTTTCAATTATTAACAACTCTAAATGAATATTTAGTCAATAACTACTTAGAGTTAATAATGTTAGATCTAATAGTTTTTGTCTAATTGTGATTTTATTGGAAAATTTCAATTACTTTAGTGCTTTATTTGAGCAAAATAGAACCAAGAGATAATTATGAGTTTAGTGAGAGTTTCGAACCTTGTTCATTACTTAAGCCATTAGCATATTTATTTAATTAGAGGAATACATCTGCTGCCAAACAAGGAGGCGAACGGAATAAAATTAGTATTTCGACTAACTTATTCATTTATATAAATGAATAATATATATAGTTTTTTGTTTCTCATTTCTTATGGTAATGTATGGTTTAATTTTATACCTCCTTTGTATGGTTGGAATTGGTAATTTACCTTGATGAGAAGGAATTGATAATTTAATTTTATTTATTTTTAATTGTTTATTTATGCTTTTGAATTTTCTGTTGACGAACACTAGAAGAAGTATATTTTTATTCACATTATTTATTATGTTTCAGGACCTTTTTTAATGGCGGACATAGTAGGGGCAATCTTCGGTGCATTGAGTTGCATTTGTGGTACTCCAACCTGCAACTGTATAGATCAATATCGAAATTTTAATGATGATGTGGGTGAGCTGAGAAGAATATTGGACACTCTAACCAATCGAAAGCAAGATATAGAATCAAGAATAGAAGAAGCAGAGGCTTGCGCGGGACAAATGGTTAGACGAGAAGTGCAAGACTGGCCTAAGCAAGCACAAGAGATCAATGTTGATGTGCGAGCATTTTTAGAAAAGGTGCAGGGAGTCAAGTGGTACAAGCGTGCCTGTCTTGACAAACGTGTTTGCAGAAAAATTAAAGTGGTGGCGGACATGATTGAAAAAGGTAGATTTCCTGAAGACCTTTTTATTGAGAGAGGTCCAGCTCATGGAAACATAATTCCAATAGAGAATTTAGTGTTGGAAATATCTACTAGAGAAGAAATTTGGAGGTACTTGATGGGTGATGAGGTTGAATTGATCGGAGTTTGTGGGATTGGTGGAGTTGGAAAGACTACGATCATGAAGAAACTCCACAATGATTTACAAAGGGAGACTAGATTTCAGAAAGTGATATGGGTTACTGTATCATATCCTCTCAATGTTTTTGAATTACAAAGGAAGGTTGCTGATGCTATGGGCGAAAGACTTCGAGACGATGAAGAGGTGATGATGCGAGCAGGCGCACTAATGGAAATAATGAGAAGAGTGAGATTTGTGCTAATATTAGATAATGTATGGGAAAGGTTCTCTCTCAGTGATGTTGGAATTCCAGAACCGACAGTGCAAAATGGGTGCAAAGTAATTATTACTAGTAGATTGACAGACGTATGCAGTTATTTAGATTGTAAGATTGTCAAAATGCAACCTCTTTCACAAGAGGAGTCTCTAACTCTGTTCCTCAATAAGGCTGGGCATGATGTTTTACAAATTTCTGGGTTGGAAAAAATCTTGCAGCTTATTGTGAAGGAGTGTGCTGGTTTACCACTCGCTATTGTTGTGATAGCAGGGAGCATGAAAGGAGTGGATGATATTAAGGTGTGGAGAAATGCATTCACTGAATTACAAGAATGTGTTAAGAGTGTGAAAGGTTCGGAGGATGAGATATTCCTGCGGTTAAAATTTAGTTTTGATCGTTTGCCTAATGAGAAAATTAGGAATTGTTTTCTTTATTGCTCCTTGTTTCGCGAAGATTATCCATTTGTAAGGGAGGAATTGATAGAAGGATGGATTGAAGGACTAATGGATGGATTGAGAAGCAGGGAAGCAGCTTATGACAGGGGCCATGCCTTTTTAGATGTGCTTGAAAAAAATAGCTTGTTAGAGAAACATTTCGAGAGGACAATTAAGATGCATGATGTTGTGAGAGACATGGCTATCAGAAGCATTGGTCCTGGAGTTGGATATATGGTAAAAACTGGTGTGAAATTGACAGAGGTACCAAATGAACATGAGTGGGCCAGAGATCTTAATAAGGTATCTCTAATGGCAAATGACATTTCAAAAATTCCTGTTGGTTTGACTCCAAAGTGTCCAACCTTGTCAACTTTGATATTATCAGACAATCCTTTGACAAAGATTCCAGAATCCTTTTTTGAAGATATGAGTGGACTCAAGGTTCTTGATCTTTCTAGAACCAATGTTGAAGCTTTACCTGGTTCCATCTCTAAGTTAAAGTATCTCTCTACACTGCGATTAAGAGGGTGTGAGAGGTTAAAGCGCTTGCCTTCCTTAGAGAAGCTTCTGGCATTGAGGAAGTTGGATCTGAGATGGGCAAGAATTGAGGTGTTCCCTCAAGGCATGGAGATGTTGGTGAGTCTTGAATATCTTGATTTATGTTGTAAAGGTTTGAAAGAGATTCCAACAGGAATATTGTCTACATTATCTAGTCTCCAGTGTTTGGTAGTAAGAAGTGATTGGGTAAAGATAAATTTAGAAGAGGTTGCTAGATTGAGAAAGTTGGAGATTGTATGATGTAATTGTGATGAGATGCAAGACTTCAATAATCTTCTGAGGGAGTTTAAAAATCTCCAGAGTTTTTTTACTTATGAGTTTCTAGTGGGAAAAAAGTGGATCCTGATGTCGGTATTGTCAATCCTAAATATAAATGCAGATTTATAATTAGTGAGTGTGACATTGGAAAAGCATTTGTAGTGCTTCCAGATAAACTTCAGCATTTGCGGATCCATACATGTAAAAGTATCGGAAGTAGCTTAGACAAAATAGATTTGTTAGAAAATGCAACCGAGTTGGGTGTTTGTATGATTAGTGATTGTGAAGAGACAGAGTACGTGGTTGAGTTGGATTCCTCCTCCTCATCATGTAAACCAGTACTTGATAAGCTTGAAGGTCTGTATCTTTGGTATTTGCCTAGGTTGCGGGCACTAGTGAGAGTGGGAGGAGTAGCAACACCGCCACGTGTCTTTTCCAATCTTAAGAGACTTCATATAGAAGAATGTTCAGGAATGAGGCAGTTGTTTCCACTTGAGCTACTGCAGGCCCTCCAAAATTTAGAGGTGATTCGGGTTAATGGTTGCGAACAAATGGAGGAGATAATAGCCTCATCAGATTTAAATGCATCATCATCGGATAAATTCACTTTCCTTTTTCCTAAATTACGGGAATTGCACTTGTCGATGTTACCTCAATTGAAGAGCATTTGCAGTGCCAAAGGAGTTATGGTTTGCAATTCTATTGAAGAAATTTGGATAGAGGAATGTCCAGAGTTAAAAGAGGATCCCTGTGCAGCTTCCACTGCTTGATAATGGCCAACCATCTTCTCCTCCTCATCTCGAAAAAATCTGTATTTTTGAAGACAAAGAATGGTGGGAATCAGTGGAGTGGGATCATCCTAATGCAAAGATCATACTCCTACCTTTCGTGCAATATGATGGTAAGGTGTTGATTGGTTTATTCTAATTTGAATTTGATAGTTTAATTGCTCAAAATTTCTATCATCTCATCTACAAGGGTAGTCCGTGAGAAATATTCAATTTTGTTCAGGTAACAGTAGAGCAGCAAATGTGTGTTAATAATAAGCCACGTGCTACCACAATAACACGTGGCAGTAAAAGCCTTTCCTCTACAACACCCGACGAGAAAGCCGATGTAAGAGAGAAGGGTATTTTATTCTCTTCCTTGGGTATTGTGGTGGAATTTGAGCCCCTTTTGATCACCCAGTAAATAAAATGAGAATTGTGCTTATCATTTTAAAAACTTGGGAAAATATGATCAACTAATAAAATCGTGGTTGGAACATTAATATTTCCATTTTTTCTTCTTTTCAATTTTTTTTTTATATTTATGATTTTTTTATAGGCAGAAGGTGCAATTCAGCCCCTCTACCAGCCATGTTGTGGCAGATCAGCCCCTGTACTAGAAACTATGGCAAATCAGCCCCTCTACTTCATGTTATCCGCAGAACACCCCTTTTAATGAGAATGACGTCATCCAACCGTTAGACCCTCCATTGCCCGTTAAAACCTGATGAGTTGGCACTGACTGGGAGCTGATTGGATGCTGATGTGGACCAATTTTACTCCACCTGGGTTTACCGAGATGGCACTCCAATGCTTTTACTAAAGAACCCTTACCAAAACAATAAATTGGGGATCTAGGGTTTCAATCTCACAATCTCTCCCTGATTGAACTTTCCTTCTGTAATTGACTATTATGCTATGTAATTGACTACCAAAAATCAGAAAAATGTAAATTGATTTACTGTACATTTTGCCCTATTTATTTCTCTCCAGTTTCTCCTGTTTTAAGTGGTAAGTTCCTGTTTGCTATGAATAAATGGAAACATAGACAGATTATGAATGGAAACACAGCAGATTTCTCAAAATTTTTGCATTTTTATATCATGGCTAATTGCCAAAATACATAGAGTGCTAGGTTTTGGGCAATCACAATTGCTATCACAGAATCATATACACATCCTACAAAATGCTCTCCTACCCGTAGCCTGCCTAGGAACAAATGACACTATATTCCTAATCCTTCATTACAAATACAATTAACATTGCAATCACAAAAGCCAAATAGGCTTTCTCTCAACAAGCAAGAGACAGTATTTGCTAAACTCCCTTGCAAATTCCCCTGCAATGTAGAGACTTTGTTGCTTAATTCATGGAGAGCGCCCTTCATCTTCATCTCAATCAATTTTAGGATGGTATCAGGAAACAGAGCCTCTTCAATTGCTTGGCCATAACATAACTCTCCCCTTAACTGGATTATTTCCTTTTGGATTTTTTCTCTTCACTTAAAGCAAAAATAACTTCATGCTCTTTTCCCGTACCACTTGTCATGCCATTCAAAGCACATTCCCTTCTGCATTGGCTCCCTGACCCTGTTATTAGCACACAATCAGCCTAACAAAAAAGGGAAAACCACTGATTCAAACAGAACCAAGCATATACTCAACCCAACAAAAATGGAAAAACCACTGATTCAAACAAAATCAAGCATACACTCAGCCCAACAAAAAAGGTAACAACACTGATTCAAACAGAACCAAAAATGAAACAGATATGCACACCTTTTTTTCTTTTTCCTTTCTCCACACCCGGTCTAACGAACTTCTCCTACTTGCTCCTCCGGTAAGAGTTCGGATTATCCATGTCCAAATCCGAATCAGAATCAAGATCCGACGCCAAATTGCCCTGCATTTCCAAATCAATCTCTTCTATGGAGAGTTCCCCAGCATCTTCCGAAGATTGCAGTTGGCAATTTTCAGTGTTTCTGACGACTTCCTCGTAGAGTTCATCCTCGGCATTGTTGCCTTCAAGATTCTCGGTGGATAATCTACCGGACTTGGCGAGGAGAGTAGCGATGATGACGTTGCAGAGGAGGAAGACGAACAGCTGACTAGCGATGGCGCCGCTGAGTTTGGCAAAAAACTCACCACAGATCTTGACGAAGATACATCTCTATGGCCTAAATCACTTTAAACTTTAATCAAAATAGAGGGAAAGAAGTCAAGTCTGGAAGGAATTGAAATGAGCAGAGGAAGGAATTAAAATAAGTAGAAGCAAATCAAAACAGAAGGAAAGTTCAATCGAGGGTGAGAGTGTGAGATTGAAACCCTAGATCCCCAATTTATTGTTCTGGTAAGGGTTCTTTAGTAAAAGCATTGGAGTGCCATCTCGGTAAACCCAGGTGGAGTAAAATTGGTCCACATCAGCACCCAATCAGCCCCCAGTCAGCGCCAACTCATCAGGTTTTAACGGGCAATGGAGGGTCCAACGGTTGGATGACGTCATTCTCATTAAAAGGGGTGTTCTGCGGATAACATGAAGTAGAGGGGCTGATTTGCCATAGTTTCTAGTACAGGGGCTGATCTGCCACAACATGGCTGGTAGAGGGGCTGAATTGCACCTTCTGCCTTTTTTTATATTTATGATATACTGAGATTTCTCAACATCTTGCAAACTAGTTTGGTACTATGGAATCATACTTCATCACTCACTATGTCTTCAATTCCTATGATTTTTCTTAGGATCGATTTGTTGGTCGCTTTTTCTCTCTAGATTCTGACATATTTTAAAGCTCTAATATTGCAGGTAGGATCTTTTATCAAGCGAAGGCAACTTCTCTTGGAGCAGAAAAGCAAAAGAAAAATGAGACTCAGCCAAACCCAATACTCCTTTTGATTGACAATAATCTTTTTTTTTTTTTAATTTATGTGTCTTTTATTTATTGGATGGACTTGGTTTAGTGTGCTGGTTTGATTTGATAATTTTTTTTTTGTTGTAATTAAGTTGTCAAGCATGTTGTGTTATGGGATTTCTACTCTGTTTGATTGATAAAATGTGACTCTTTATCAATTTGAAATGTAATTTTTGTAATACCTTTCGTGTTTGATATATTGTTATAATTGTAAATTCCATTTACTTGGCTGAGGTGAGCACTGGAGAACACTCTGGCAACCCTTCATCGCCAGCCTTCTTCCACCTTTGCAGGTGATTTTTACCACATAAACAATCATATTTATTTTATTTCATTTTCTTTATATCATTTGCAATCTTAATTAGATTCTTTTAGTCGCTAAAGGAAATAATGTTTATAGTTTGAAGTGAACAGGAAAGGGAGATCCATCTAGGAATCAGCACAACAGAATAGGCATGGCATGGTGGGAAATTACAGCTTTGAAATAATTGCTCAGCTCTCATAAATTCCAATTAGTAAGTAAATTTTGACTACTTTACTGCATTTCATCCTCTTCTTTTTCTTTTGCTTGTTCCTTAGAGTTTTGTTTTGTTGGTTATTTAATGGTAATTATATTTAGTAGGTCAAAATTTTCAAAAAGTAAGTTAAATAGAATTGAGGGTAGGAAGATTGGTTAATATCTGTGGTTGAAACAACATTTTTCTTTTATTATTCCATTTCACTTTCTTCATTTTTTCTTTCTAAATTGTGGGTTTTACTGCATTTTTGTGATCTATACATTTTCCTTATAAATTGGTTTCTAGGTATGGCTTAAATTAAGCAACTTTTGATAGATGAGTCAATTAGCTTAAGCTCAAGGTCTCCTTACCCCTCATTCTTCATTGGATCTCATTCTTCCTTTTGGTTTGACAATTATAGATCTAATTCTTGTTCATCTACAATGGGAGGCTTGATTCTCTATATCAACACTGGTGGCCTAATTCCTGCCAACTACTGAGGTTAGTTATTTTTTTATGTTATTTGTGTGCTATACAAAAGGACAATGTTCCTAGTCATCCTGATTATCTAAAAAAGGACAGTGTTCCTAGTCATCCTGATTATCTAAATTGGGTTTTGTTTGTCTAGGAGTTTTAAAGTAGGGTGCATTTAGTTTCATATGATTTCATGGCATTTGAAATGTCTTTTCTGTGTCTTAATTTTGATCCACTGAAGCTGTTGGACATCTTAAGGACCAAAAGATTGATTTAATGTTTGTAGGAGATTCAGCGCAGAGAGCCCAGTTTGAGTCCAATGGTTTGTTTGGTACAATTTGTGATTCTTGAGGAGAACAAATCCTTTCATAGAGTTCCCCCACAATGATCTTTAAAGTTGAGGTACCATGACTTTTCTGCCTATCCCGCTTCGCTATAGTACATGAATTTTTCACGTTATCCTAATAAAATCCGCATTTAACGTGTTAAATTGTTTGAATCATTTGCCTATTTCAAAAGACTTGAATACTTAAAATTAAAGGAAAAACTTATAAAAAATAATTGAAGTATGCATGTTAGACACTTTATTTTTTTTGAAAAGCATGCATGTCAGACACTTGATCATGGTGTTTTGAGATTTGGAAATGTGTTTCAGGAGTGCAAAGCATCAATTGAGTACTACTGGGCTCCGTTCATAGTGGAGTTTAATTCATTCCATGCAACATATCATACTGTCCTGAGATGACTGGTGAACCTTGCTATCGCAGCTGAACATGGCAGGAAGTAGGAAGAAGTTGATGTGTTGGTGTTTGAGAGCTATGTTTGGTTGATGCACAAGCGTAACAAGCCTTAGATCAATGGTCTGTAAGTTTTCGGTTTTCGATCCAAGGCATTCTTCTCCATCCAAATTCTTCTGGTTTTGTGAACTTTGCTGCCATAGCCAAACACAGCAGGAGCTAGTAAAGAGTCATGCATTGGTGTTTGGAGCTATGTCTGGTGGATGTACGAGCGTAACAAGCTTTAGATCAATGTTCTGTAAGTTTTTGGTTTTTCATCTTTTCTATTCCATTAGCCATCCAATTTCTTCTGGGTTTTGCACTTCAAGAGCAAGTTTTTTATTTGAAGATACATTTTGGAATCCATCATGTTAATCTAAGTTCTAACTTTCTTCCTGACTTTCATTTTCTTTCTTTTTTTTTATCAGTTATGAAACACCTAGGATTGTTCAAGAATATATTGTGACAACTTGTAAATTGAGAAACGTGGGCAAATTGGTTAGAATCAAATATTCGTGCTCTTTGTCCCCAACACACATGTGGTATGTTTCACATGCTGTTTTCTATTAAGAAACATCCCAAATCCCCAAATTATGAAGATGATAATAATATAGGGAGTTATCAAGCTGTTTGATGAATTAGAAGTTAATGCTTCCTATGTTAATCTTCTTTTCTTTTCAAATTTATAATATCCTTTTTAATAATATGATTTTGACTACTGATCAATGATCATGAATTTGTATAACCCTTCAAGGCTTTCACCCCTTCCACCCGAGCCAATTGTTCTAAACTATGGTCATGATGCAAATCATGAACTCCCTCTTGCTACTGTTACTAGACCTAGTTTTGAGGTTAGTGTATTTACCTATGTTCATCTCTATACATGTCAGTTCGCAATCGTATTCTAAAATTGAGCAGTGATTATGGCTTTCTGACTTACATTGTTCAAATTATCCTAGGAATTGAAGAGGAAAGAGAGGAAGATTGGTCATGGCAGTTGAACTTAGCCAGCGGTAGGAGGTTTATCAAGGAAATTGAACTTGCGACACATGTAGACTTTTACAACTTGCACTCATTTGTTTCTTTTGGGACATACAACATGGGAAGTGAAGCAGAAAGAAAAAGCTTTAGCAAGAGGTAACTTGCATTTGATGTTGAATTTTGTTGATTACTTATCACATCCCTGTAATGGGCTGTTTCTATTTCCTTTGATGGTCTATTAGCCTTTCATTCATTCCATGACTTGTAATTTTTTGTTTTGCTGATTGGCCACTATTTGCCGCAATCATTCATAATGATGTTGCAAATGATATACTGATTTATCTACATAAGTTGATGTATATTGCCTTTTCATCATTCTTTGGTATGCTAGCTTTTCCATTTTTACCTTTAGATATGGTTATTTTGGCTTTTCATTTTGGTAGATTATATTCATTAACTGAATACATGCAATTGTATACAAGATGTTATGGTTGTAAGTTTCTGTATTGACTACTGGTACATGTTGTGAATGATAATTTTTTTTTTCCCTTATGTAGGGTTGGTTCTATGCTTTTTCTAGAATGACATAGCTGCTACTGTAACTTGCATCAAAGGGGAAGGATGGAAGCGAGGTGGTAATGAGAACTGCGTCAATTAGTCTTATCCAATCCAAGAAGCATTATCCTGGGGAATTGGGTATAGTCTTGCCATCATGGAGATAGTTCGCAACATCTTACGAGAACTGAAGATCAACCGTCACAGTTTGAACGTTACACAATTGTTAGAAGATTAGAAAGATGCTCATATTTGTTTATGATGAACAGAAGGGCAAACTCTTGACAAGGAACAGAGATCTTATCTTGAAAATTTTGCTGATTGTGTTCATTGGTGCTTACTTACCGGGACTATCCAATACATGAAAGGAGATTTTGTATGCATATTTGTTGAATAGTTGTGAAAATCTTTATGATCTGCACCTCCTTTTTTGGAAATTAAGAATGTAAAACCAAGGTATTGATAAAACAAACAATTGAGTCTTCATTTCCAAATCAGTTTGCTGCTAGGCCATTTCCAAATTAGTTTCCAAATCAACTATCGAATCTTCTGGAAAGGGAAAAAAATTATTAGGTTTGCAACCATCCAAATCTGTTGCTCTTTGTAAAATTTTTGGCCTAGATAATTTGGTTCTCTAGTGTCCAACTTTGTTCAATTTTTTCTTCTTATCCTAAAGGCATATTACCTTAATTTTGAATTTTTTTAATTAGATCTCTTTAGAATATATGCAGACATAATGAAAATGTCAAAAGTTAACTTTCGAATACATGATAATAAAAATGCCTTCATTCTTTAGAAAATTTAAATATCATTAAATATATATATATATCTACGAGTGTGATTATTATTATCGTAAAAAATAGTTAAAAATATTTATTAATTAATTAATTTTAATTTTGTAATTAATAAACATAAATTTTTTAATTAATTATTTAATAATTATATTTAATAATTATTTAATGATTATTTTTATTAATTAAATTAAATTAATTTAATATTTTTAAAATAAGATTTTATAATCTTAATATCCCTAAAATACTTATATGTAACCATAAACGCGCCCGTTATCTTTACTGCTGCATGCTTTGCCATCTGCAAAAAGCTATCCCCTGCAATAATGGCGCTCTGTTTCTCTCTCCAGCTTTATATCTATTTCCGTCCCCACGCCACACTCTGCTTTTTCATTTTTCTCCAAGGCATTATCCTACTCTTACATAGCGGTGGGCATTTGGTTGGTTAACCGAAAACCACCAAAAAATTGAATTTGGTTGAATGAATTGGTTTTGGTGAATTTAAAGTTGGTTTTGGTGAAAAACCGATAAACTTTCGGTTCGGTATTGGTCAGGAGGCCCAATAACCGAAAACCAAATAGGGCCTCCTGACTAACCAAACTAAGGCCCAAGTATTTGGCCCAAAAAAAATAAAGGATAAAGAATCTTAAATGGCGTCACCGAGACACCGCTGCCGCCTTCCAATTCCAGCCCTCCTCATTTTCACTTTCCCTCTCTCTGGAAAAATTCCCTCAAAAGCTCCAACCCTAAAGATCAATTTCCCTCCCAATGCTACAACTCCAAAGATCAATTTCCCTCCATCCCCACCTAATCTTTCATGGATTTTTATCAATTTTTCTCAAGTATAAAAGCTTTTACACCTGTATTTTTTTTTTTCATTCTCTTAAAAATCAATCTCCTTTTTTTCCCTCTCTTTCTCCTTTCTCATCTAATCATCTTCTCTATTTATCACTATCGTCGCCTGGTGGTAGTCATAAGCCTTACATTCCCTTTGCTCTCGTCGGCACCGAAGGTGAAAAGCTCAGCCCTCATGCCATCGGCAAAGCTTGGCCTTATTTCTGTGAAGAGGTAGCCCACCAAGAGAAATAGGAGGAGAATCGCGGAGCTAGATTATGGAACAAGTATACTTTCAATATTTTAGACTGGTTCATGTTATACTTTCAATTGTCAAATTTTGGCGTAAGTGAGGGATGCTTGTGGAAATAGTTAGCAGGTTGTTAACATTCGGTGAAAACTGAAACATAAAAAATGAAAACCGAAAATTTCGGTACCCGAAACCCAAAAAAAGGGGTAATACTGGTATTGGATTGGTCTTGAAAATCAGTACCGAAAAATTTTGATTATTGAAATATTGGTTTCGGTCGATACCGAAACCGATATTTGCCCACCTCTGTCTAACAAAAGGTTGAATGAAGCCAAGAGGCTGCATTTTTATTGTGAAAATGAAATGGGGGCTTATACAAGATATGTGAAATTGTCAAATACCGTAAATTATTCCCTTAACAAAGTTTCGCTAGCAAGGGTTTTAAGAGGATCGGTAATGATTAGCACATAATTGGAAGTAGTCGGCAGAAATTAGGGCAGCAACTTGTGGGTTGGGGATTGTTTATTGCCGAAATCCCTTGCTCTCCCCATGAAGCTGGTTAAATAGGTGAAGATTTGTCCAATAGCTTCTGATGCTCATAGCGACTCTCCTTTCTACTTTAATAGCCCTATTTAGCTCATACAGCGATTGCAATTGCAATCTCTAGTTGCAGATAGCTCTCTTTACTTAATTATCTATATTCGTCATAAGTATAGTTTAAATCTGTTATTAGACTGTAGGTTATGCTTCTGATTCTGTTTTTTAGGCTTTCATGCTTTAGGCTATATGCCATGTGCACTACTAGAAAAATGACGTATACAGACCGATCATATACGGACTGAATAGTGTCGGTCCGAAAAAATAAATATTCGAACCAATAACGGTCTGAATATATTCAGGTGGGAGAAAATATACTAATAAACATATTCGGACCAGTATCAGTCCGTATATTTCTGGCGGGAATCCACAGTATAGACGTGCCAATAATATTCGGACCGTTTTCGGTCCAAATATTATTTCTGAAAAAAATAAATATTAAATACAAAAAAATATGAATAAAATATTATTTAAATAAATATATACGGACCGTCTTCGGTCTGTATATATCCATCAGAGAATACAAAATTTCATTTTTATATTCGGACCCCTTTCAGTCCGTATATTTATTATTTTTCGTGAAAAATAAAGATTAAATGACAAAAATTAGGAATGAATTATTATTTTTAATGAAAATATACGGACCG